ACGTGCGGACGTCGACCCCCATTGGCCAGCAGCGCGGACGAGACATCTAGCCTTTATTATGGATATCTATGGTCCTAACAGCGTTATTAACCCAGCAGCAGGCCCCAGTCTTTCCGCTCATATTCACAGGGTTATCCGCCATAGAAGCAGCAGCGCCCCCTGCAGGCTGGCGGACCTACCTGTCAGATGTTCGGGGAAAGCAGCTCGGTTCTGTTAGTGTTGTTGTTTGGCTAAATCCAAGCTGTTAGTGTTTGTTTTGGTCCCACTTTACTGCAAAGGAACAAACCAATGATACCCTGCCTTCTTCTTCTTCTCTTAGCGTCACATTATCTCTGCCCTCTGCTGCCACCTGCCGCCATTTATTCAGTATTACAGAAAGAAAATCTTTTATAGATCCAGTATAACAGTGTTATTGCTTCCTCTCCATTTTAGGATTAATATTATAGGAATTGTTCTGCTATATTTGATTTCTCTATATTTATTCTATTTGTAGCTTCATTGGCTTTAGTGCTTTCTGTGTAAATCAGAGCTTTCAGCCTGACGCTGTGGTTGGTTCATTCTTATTTTATTCCACTTCCTCTCATTCTGGAGATGTCTCTGCTGTTTTTCTTAATGTTGCAGGTTCCAGGCATGTAAAAAGGTTTCTAATCACACATTTGCACTGACTTTTGGATATAAGTCATGCATGAAAACACTAAGTTAGGTTGATTTGTCCTTTTTATGTTTTTGTTTGAATAACTTTGTAATAAACAATAATTGAGGCAAAGACTGTCCATCCATCTATTTTCCATCACGCTTTATCCCAGCTGGGGTGGCGAGAGGTGCTGGTTCCTATCTCCAGTTGCCTACGGGTGAGAGGCGGGGTCCTCCCTGGAAAGGTCTCCAGTCCATCACAGAGCGTGCAGGACAAACAACCATTCACACTCACACCTTAGGAGAATTTGGAGAAGCCAGTTAACCTAACAGTCATGTTTTTGGACTATGGGAGGAAGCTGGAGTACCCGGAGAGAACCCACATATGCTCAGGGAGAACATGCTAACTCCATGCAGAAAGACCACAGGAATCAAACCCGGAACCTTCTTGCTGCAAAGCAGCAGTGCTACCCACTGCCCTACTGAGCAACCCAGGCAGAGACTCATTCTATAATATATCTTCAGAACTCAGTATCTAATTCCTTTTAGCTGTAAAACAGAACAGAGCAAATGCACAATCAAACCAAGATAGGATTAATGTCCTATGGGTCATATCCACTCAGCTGTGTGCTACTGCATGTGTCTCTCATTTTATTTAGGGCATGACTGCCTCTGCAGATTATCAGCCGAGAACAGGAGAAGAAACAATGTTCATGGGGCTGAAATCAGCCTCTTAAAGACTATTGTAATTCTTTACTATCAGGAAGTCCACAAACTGTAGTTAAAAGCCTTCAG